CACACACACACACTCACACACGTGTTCATTTGTTGTCCTCCTGTCCATTGCTTCAACAGAAGCTCCACCGTTTCCGCACGCACTGCCTCGCGCAGAATGCCACTGAGGACTACTTCGACTCCATCACCTATGGCCGCCCTCGCGAGTATCAGCAGCAGCAGCAGCAGGAGGATGAGGAGCCCACCTTCCGCCCGCTGCAGGTCTCGCTGCCGCTGGTCGAGAACAACGGGATGGCATCCTTCGTGGCCGCCATGCCCACCTTCCAGCTGTGCTGCCGGCGAGCTGGCAGTGTGACGCTCAAGTCGCACTGTGGCTCGACGGACGTCACCTCTGCGCCAGGAATCGACTCGCTGGTGTTCGAGACTGCCGATGAGCTGGCGATCGAGCCCTGCTACCACGCCATATACCTCACCACCGCGGCATCCACCGCCTACTTGACCCTCCCATCCTACATCACATCCAGGTGGGTGCGGCGGATGTCACGATTGATTGAATTGGTCAAGTGGCGCGTTCATTCTTGTTTTGACGCTTTCCGTGTTGGCACGGCACATCCTCTCTCTCTCTCTCTCTCTGTCTCTGTCTCTCTGTGGTTGTGTGGTGTGTATTCAATGCAGGCCAGCGGCACTGTTTCCGTCGGTGACGAAGCTGCACGCCAAGGTAGTGAGCGGCCACAACGTCAATCGGATGGCGGTGTACCAGGGAGGCGTTGACCGCGTCATGGGAGGCCTTCACGCCCTCGAGCGGGCCTCATTCGATGGCCACCTGCGCACCCCACGGACGTCGTGGGGCGTGGAGGCTCATGCGGGAGGTGCCAAGGTCGGCTTGGTGCCAGAGGGAGCCAAGTACCTCGACAGCGACCTCCAGGGCCATCCTTTGACGATTGTGCACACCTACCGCTATTGTGAGGACAGCAGGGTGGAGGTGGGGGTGTACGAGACGGGCGAGGAGGGCAAGGCGCTGCTGCAGAAGCGCATCGCACACCTAGAGTTGCATTACGCCGAAGAGATGGGGCACCGCTACTTCGGGCGTCGCAGGGGGGCAGACAGAACGGCTGATCAGAAAGCCATGTATAGCTCGTTGGTCGAGGCAGTAGCACAGGCGTTCAACACTAGCAAAGTGCTCGAGACGGTCTTTTTTGATCACACCCCGAAGCCCACGTGGGCGGCCGTCTCACACACACGTTCTGCAGCTAAGAAGAGGTTTCAGGTGGCCTCTGAGAAGAGCAAGGCTCTGCTCTTCACCAGGAGAAAGTGAGTGAGTGAGTGACTGTCCTGCTGGCTGCCTCGTGTGGTGTGTGTTTGGGCGAAGGGGGGGGCCAGGGAGGGAGGACTCATGTATGTGAACATTGATCTAGATGGCGGGTGTACGTCGCATTTTTGGGGTGAGTGAATGCGTTGATTGTTTGTATCGTTGATGAGGCAAGAAGTGTCACGGCCAGTGTCAGAGGCATCATCATTATGAACACACATCACGGTAGTGCACACGGGCACTTGCTGAGGCCAGTCTGGGTAAGTCTGAGACGTCGTCTTTTCCTGAATCGAAAGCTATGCGTCCGTCAGGACACTGTAGAGTCATGCACCCCTCCAAAAGGAACAGATTCATTGAATCAATCCCTCCCCTTTCCCCCCACCCTTCAGCTCGCGCCGCTCGAAACCCGAAGTCATGATGGCAGCTCCATCCATTCCCCCGGAGGCCCTTCCCGGCATCCTTTGCTTCCTGAGTGTCAGCGAGCTGTTGCCACTGAGCTGCCTCTGTCGTGATGTGGCGAATGTCATGGCCGAGAGCCTCGTCTGGTGGCTGCAGCTGCCGCCGGCCATCGAGGCAAGACTGGGACACCACGAGGAGGGCATCGACGCTAAGGCTCTCAAAAAACTCGTGCTGGGACACCACGTAAGCATCACGCGACAGTCACTGCCTTCACTTCATCTTCATTGTGCTACTTACGTGTTTGTTGTCCTGTGTGTGTTCAGGGCGTGATCAGATGCCCATCCTGTTCGTTCCATCAGTACTCGCGGCGCGCCCGTCAGAGTTTCGGCACACGCCTCACGGGCCTGTTGACAGAGTTCCGCCGCACTACCATGCGCTCTGCCTCGGCAAGTCCACCGCAGCAGGAGGCTCGGCCGGAGTCTGCAAGCGCACGAGACCAGCAAGCTGCAGCAGCATCTGCTGCTGCCCCGATGGATGAGGAGGACGCGGTCGAGCCGTCGACCCATGAGCAGCCGTGTGACTTGCCCCTGCCTGGGATGGATGTCGATGTGGACGAGCACCACGTCGACTTCAGTGAGATTGAGGCGTGTGCTGAGTGTGGAGAATTCCTGGATGTCGGCCGCGACGCATTCGATCCCCAGTAAGGAGCTCAAAGGGACACACGGACACAACCAATGTCTGACTGTCTGTCATCCGTGCAGGTCTTTCTTTCTGGAGAAGGGTCCGTTTGAGGCTAGAGCAAACGTGCCGCGGCCGCGGCCGAGGGGGGCTCAGGCAAGACGGCACCACGTGGCACCCAGGAGAGGGCAGATGGCGGCCAGAAGAAAGAGACAGAAGAAGAGAAGATAGACCATGATCGGCCGGCCGATAGGTAACAGCCAGCCAACTATCCCCTTTCGCTGGTTCTCTGTGTATGGATGGATGCACGCAAGGGAGGCAAGTCAAGTCAGCGAGTCAGTGAGTGAGTGAGTGAGTGACATTTTTCTTGTGAGTGACCTGGCTAGCTGTACGTACAGGATCGATCGTCTTCACTCAGTCAATCCATATCTGCGAACTCGACTGTCGCCATTCCAAAATCAAACCCATTTTTCAGTTCCCTTGCTGGCATTTCCATCCATCCATCCATCGGTATGCTTGGATTCAGCGGCCGACCAAGCCGGCCTTGGCCCTCTCGATCCTCTCGAAGGGTCGCGTCATCACCTCACCATGCGAGAGGTCATCCATGCGGCACACGGGCTTGCCCTCGGCCGCAAGCTTCTTGGCAAGACCACACGCAGCGGAAGCAGCGAAGGCACCGCACGGGTTGGACGTGTCAGCAGGTTTGTTGCGCTCGTGTTGTGATCGTCCGTCGGGGGCGATGTTTGGGTTCACTTCAGTGGGGGGCGGGAGGCGGCGCTCGAACGAGGGGTTTGTTACCCACCTGATTCGGGGATCTTCCCGCGTGAGCCAGGGGTCGTCGCTCATCTCACAGCACAGAGCATTCGGCAGCCTCAATGCATTCACACAGACAGAGAGACAGAGGCAGAGACGCGAGCAGAAATGAGTAAGTGGTGTATGTGTCTTGTGCTTACTCCCTCCCTACCAGTGGCCGCCGGCCATGACTGAGTCCATGTGCCGCAACCAGACAGACTTGTGAACGGAGACGCGACGGTTCTCTCTCTTAGCACACGCCAACGGCTGGCGCGAAGGGATAGAGCACACCGAGAAGAACAGCGACATCGGACTCTGCATAAAGGCGCAAGACACACACACACAGAGACAGACAGAATACAATGATGCACACTATGTCTCTTTCTCTCTCTGTCTCTCTCGTTCGTGTGGGTGTCGCGCCCGACCACAACGTCGACGATTCGAGAGTTGATGTCCAGCACGAGTCTATCCTCCCACCTCGGCTCCAAATAGAGCCCCTGGTCCCCCATGGTGGCTCCCCCTCGGCAACACTGTCCATCATGAAAGAGAACGCGATGTCGATGAGGCCGAGACCTCTCAGCCCGCCGCCCATCTGCTGATGGTTGCCCATGAATCTGTACAAATCACCACAGGGACATACATGGAGACACGGCGAGTCAGTGAGTCAGTCAGTGAGTGAATGTTCGTGTCTCTCCACCAGACGTTCTCAATGGTCTGATCCTCGTTCCTCCGTTCGATCTCGAAGCTGGCGAGGAGATCGGCATAGTCATCAAGGCTCAACACGTTGAAGACGTAGCGAGGGCCGGGGTACTGATCGATCGACGCGGCGGCAAGGAGACATGCATGGTGTGGGCAGCAATTGCTGTCTATGCCTTCTTTCTGCTCACGTCTGCTCGTTCGCGGAAGTATGGCTGCATGACACACAGAAAATGGCGAACACACATGTCCGGACAGAGAGAGTGTGGAGGACATACATAATGTATTGTAAACAGGCTTCACTCACACTCACCGTGATGTCTTGCTGGAATGTGCCGACGACACTGTCGTATACTGACGTACATCAGAGACATCGACAGCAAGCAAGAGTGAGAGAGAGTATGTCGCATTCTGTAGGTGCAGCATCGTGATGTCCGGGTGTCTGTCTTGCTGTACGTCCGAGATAGTGCACCCGGACGTCTTCGCTCATTCGACGGCGACGGAACTTGAGGGCGAGCTCCTGTGGGTCCTCGCCGAAGAAGATGTCCTTGATTTCCTTCTCTAATTCTGTGATGTGTCTTCTGTTTTTCCGGAGCATGATGCCGATGTAGGAGATCAGGGAGTTGAGGCCGCGGGCAGATATGCCGCCTCTGAACAAACAATTGCGCATGCATCTCTTTCTCTGTCCTCATGGCATTGTGTGCTGGCGTGTACGCACCTGCTGTATCCGATGATCCAGATTCGTGTGGTACTGGTGAAGCTTTGGCCTGTAGCGTGAGGGTACCTAATTCGATTGGGAAGTCGCAGACCCTTCAACTAGGTGGGTGGTCAACACACACGCTCACTTTGCGACGAGCCACTTATAGGCCTGCCATACCTTGGGCCTGTCAGGCAGTAAGTCATTACGAGTGAGAGTGGGAGAGAGAGAGACACTGTGGCTGTGTGGGCGTGAGCTCACCAGGTGTCATACCCCAACACCGACGTGAGCCGGTCAGCCCCAGCAGCCACCAGCCCCTTGGCGCATGTGGCGAGCCGCTCACTCAATGTCGGCGGCTGAAGCTCGGTCTCGTAGAAGAGCTCTTCCGTGACGTCAGGGGCGTTTCGCAGACCACCCGGGATGTAGATGAACTCTTGGCGCCCGTCCACCGGCACATTGGCATCTACAGACGGGCAAACACACAGGGAGACAGAGAGACAGGCAGACAGACAGACGTATGTGTTGCTCGAGGGGCTGTCGTGTGTCGGTGTGCCTGGTTTCACTCACTTTTGAGCAAGGTCCATGTCTTGCCGACGTTGCTTCTTCTGCCTTGGGGCGGCCAGTCGCTGTCGTCGTCCTCAGCCTTGAGCCCAAACCCCTCAAACATCACAACCAGGTTGTGCTCCTTCTCCTGCCACTCAACAGCATCGGCGTACTCCGGCAGCCTCGCAGGCAGAGAGGACCTGCGCTCGAGGCGCTTCGGAATCTGGCCGCCAGCTGGCTCTTCTTTTGAGAAAGCTCTCTTCCGCCTCGAAGTTTGCTTCTTATCATTAGTGATGGGCTGGGTAACACTGTCGCGGCTGTCAGTTGTCAGGTCATGGGCGGAGGTCACGGCGATACAGAGAAGCCAAAAGACCCGCATCGGTGGCTGCGGGCGCCTGCGGGCGTCTCGGCGTCCTGGCCCCCAATCCAAGCCCCAATCGCATGCACGCCGGAATTCTCCAGGCTTGCATCAAGGCGCAGACACCCCTGTAGAAAACAGCGAAAGACGACAATGAAAAAGGTGTTGCAGGGAGCCGTGCATGCCAAGACTCAAGAGCAAGGGATGGGAGGGACGGCGATGCCCGTCTGACTCATTAATCTCATTTGCTGTGCTCCATTGGCTGTGCTGTGTGTTTTCAGGCCAGCTTGGCCCATCCTTTGTCCGGTGGGGATGGCGTTCCCCCGAGGAAAACTGCGAGCTCAGGGAGAAGAGGGAAGGCAAGGCCCACCAACGCTCCCGTCCGAGCTCGCAGATCCCAAGGCAGATCTCGAGGCATCCTCAGCCTTGTTTTCTTTTGGCTGAGGATGCCATCGGCTTCCCCTCCCTCTGGGGGTCATGTTGGTCCTCGTCCGGTCCTCGTCCGTGCCCATTTGGCTGTGGTTGGCGTCTCCGACCTTTCCTCGTGATGCTGCCCGCCGCAGCTCATCATATCGCTCAGCCTTATTGGCTCTTCCTCTGGCGTCCTTCTCGCCCCCCCGGCACGCTCTCCCACATCCCCCCGAGCCTCAATTGGGTCTTCATCGTGAAGATCTGCTTGACGACGCCGTCTCAGCGGACCGACGTGACGAGAACTGCACTTGCTCCTGCCTGGGACATGCGGCTTCCCCCCCGTCCCCGTTCGTCAGAGTGTGCTGAACCGCTGGTGTTGCCGTGGTGAAGCTGCAATGATGCTTGCGTAGGGATGGGAGGGCATCTGCTTCATTGCATGGTTTGCTTGTTGCACTGGCACCGTGATCATGATGTGCTCTGTGTGGTGTGGGCGGAGGCGGTCTGTCATGTCTTGTCATTTGGATGATCTCTCTGCTTGAGGTAGCCTATCACGTGAGGTCGCACGCCGCCATGTCTTTTCTTTTGCGTGCATATGATTACGCGTGCGGTTATACTTCGGCGTGCCTCTATGCATTGAGACCAGACTCCTGTCATTCATAGTGCTGCCTCTGTCCGTCTGTATGTGGGACCCTTCTTGCCTCTGTCTGTCTGACTTGCTTCCCCCGCCTTCCCCCTGTCTTTCATGTCCTCGTGCTTATCGTCTTCGTTTGAGTGCTTGGTGGTGGGGGTGAAGCAGCTGGTGATGTCTTGTCATTGGTGTGGTCTCTTCTCTGCGGTAGCCTATCACGTGTCGTTGCCCGCCATGTCTTTTCTTTTGCGTGTGCATGGTTGCGCGTGTGGTTAGACTTCGGCGTGCATCTCTGTTGCGACCATACTCATGCCATTTCAGCCAGTGCCGCATGTCTGTCTGTTTGTTCATTACCGCGGCGGGGCTCTCCCCTCTAGCTGCCTTCTGTCTTCCTCTGCCAGCCCAGCCAGGACTTCCTGAGCATGTGCCTGCCAAGTGCCTATCGACTTAGATCACACCGTGCTGCCCACTGATTCAATACACGTCGTCTTCCCCCGTCTGACTGTCTGGCAAGAATGGATTGAGCGCAAGCCACTCAGTGCGTGTGAAGGGATGGAGTGCATCTTAGGTATCGTCTATCATATGTTGCAGGGCCTCATGGCCTGCCTGGCTATTCCCTTCTCTCTCCCTCTGCTGTCTTCCTATCTTCCTTCCTTATGGGTCCCGTGTGGATATGGTGGTGTATTCATGTGATTGGCTGATTGTTGCTTTGGTAGCTCAGAGGGCGCTCATTTTTCTACTTCCCCCTTCTGGCTTCTGTACACTTGCCATGGCTCTTGCTGGGCGACAGCGCCCGTTCTTGTGTATGTAGCCAGAATCGGTGTTTGTCAACGTTCTACAAGGCAGCCAGTGCTCTCTGCTGCCATCTGTTTGTCCGCCGGTGCCAGTGCAGGGAGGGGTAGACAGGCCGTGTGCATGCTTTGCATGTACATGCTGCTAGTTTAGTGCGTGAGACAACAGGATCCCTCCGGGGTTACAGAGACGAGTCTCGTTAAACACACTAACCAACCAAGGCACAAAGGGCGACGAGGTCAGATCAACACGTGAGCACTGACCGGTTGCTACGGCTGACCACTGAGCTGGCATACGAGGTGAGAAGAGAGGCATTGTCTGATGCACTGAATCTCATCGTCGTTTCCATCTGAAGGCTCGTCGGTTCACTTTGTCTGTGTGTGTGTGTGTGTGTCACTGCAGGCGTGTTTGGTTCATTCCCGCGCTGCGATGCCGGGCGGTGAGCCTTCGACCGAGCTTTCAGTTGTGGAAGCGAGTGAGAAAGACTCTCTGCCGGACAAGCTTGCCGTTCTGGTCAAAGTAGTCTACCAAGTGATCGGCTCTAGATTGGGGGCAGTCGTCGTCAAGCTGTGTGATGATACGACGCTGGGTGGCCTTCTGAGAGAGGTCGCTGGTAAGATTCAGCCAATATACGAGAGAAAAGGGTCGTCTGTCACGGGAGGGGAGCTCAAGTACAAAGACGACGACCTGGAGGACAAACGGCTCAGGACCGTCAGGTAGGTGAACACAAACCGTGGGTGTGTGTGTGCGTCGCGTTCGTGTCTGTATGTGTGTGGACGCCGTGTTGTGTGCCTTTCTACCCGTCAGAGAAGTTTTTCAAGATCAGATCGATGCTGGCGAAGACATCATCGTCACGGTCGAGGCGCCGTTGGTGCAGCCCATAGGTGAGGCAGGCAGCTAGGGAGGCGAGTGGTTCATCTTTCCTTCGCGGCTGCATGTGGCTGTCATGTTGTTGTGCTAGCAGAGACGGTGGGGCAGCAGCAGCAGCAGGAGCAACAGCAGCTTAGGCAGCCACGACAGCAGCTGGGAGGACAGCGGCTGCAGCGCAACACAAACGCGATGATCCCTTCGTGACGAGAGCTCTCGACCCTCAGCGGCGGCCGCAGCTTATTCAGCAGGCCTTATCGGCATTCAGAATTGAGGCAGCCTCTACTACGGCCAACACAGCATTCGCCCGGTGCTTCCTCGCACTAGCGGATCGGCCTGTGGTGCCGCGGACCAACGCAGGAGAAGTACTGCCAGTCGTCCCATTCCTTGAATGAATTGCTGCTGGGGTGCGCTGAGCTGATTCAGGATCCCCTGGGAGACTGGGGTTTCAGTCGAGCATACTATGCATCGCAACGGTCGTCGCGCTGTTTTTGAGCTTCATGCTGACACTACTCGGCGCGGCTGCATCAAACTTAGATAGCTGGTGGAATGGCCCGCTGGCGCGACTGGTTGCCTGCGGCCTGCAAGGGGAAGGAGGACTGAGAATTGCAATAGTGTGCTGGGCGGCAGGGGATTTGTAGCAGACGAGTTGGGAGGTGTTGTACGTGGTGGAATGAGCCGAGCTCTCTCCCTTCTATGCCCCCCTGAGTGTGCTGTGGCGCTCTCCCTCCCTCTCTCTCTCTCTGTGCCTGGCCGCCTGCCTGTCTTGTTGGGGTGCATGGGTGGGTATGGGGCGGTCTTTGTCTTCTGGTTGGTGCACTCTTGTCACTTACTTGTCCCACCATCGCATCTATCTGCCTCCTCTCGCCCTCTACGTATGCGTATGCCTGTGCCTGTGTGTGCAATGCAGGCAGGCTTAGATGTAACACCTATGTGATTCTTTGGCTGGTCTTGTTTGCTTTATCGATGAGTGGACTGACGCCTTCCTTCCCAGACACCGTCCTGAGTGCATGACATTGTCGATGTGTAGACTATTGCGTACATGACCTGGCAGCCCTGTTGAGCCACACCCGTTTTGTCCAATTACGCACTGATATTCCTCGCACCACATCACGCACAAGAACCACTGCAATTGTCGTGTCCCGCGGGATGAATTGACCAATAGCAGCTCCTCCCTATCTTGTTCGCGGGCAGAATGGGCTGGCTGGCGTTTCTTGTACAGACGCAGCAGAAGCAAGCAACGGAAGGAATTATGGCTAGTGCACTCCGTGCCGACGCCGTCACACACCGTCACACTCGCAGACTTTACTACTGACTCAGCACGGCTGCCAGTGCAGCACTGAGACGAGAATAACTCACGCGCCTCAACGTAAACTCTGTTGCCCAGTGGATCGCGCTTGAGCTCGCGACGAAACGCCAAGAGGACCACGGCGCTGCAGACACGAGGCGAGTGGTGCCGAGCAGAGAGGAGAAGGGGAGCGAGACGGCCGCCACCACTTGAGTTGCTTGCCCGTCTGCCGGCTCCCTGGCGTTGCCGCGTGCCTGAGGGGTAGGCGCGGTGTGCGTGTCACGTACATGGGAGAGGTGGCCTGACGAGCAAGCGACAAATCTTTGCCTGGTGAGCCAAACGGCCGACTGAGCACTCTGAAGAGAGAGGGAGAGACCAGGAAGATTGTGTTCTGGTTGTGCTTGTGTGTGCAGGTGCCTGATTGTCTGTCTGAGTGTCTGTCTGAGTGTCATCGATGCTGATGCCCTCTGACCACCCCATTCTCATGTGCCCGCCATGTCCGGGGGGACCGACCGCCGTTGCAACGAGTAAGAAAAGTACGCGTGCACACACACAAACACATGTAGCGTATACCAGCCAGTCAGTCAGCACAGCAGGCAGGCAGCGCACTGCACCACTGTATAATTATATCTACTATGTATGGCTTACTGACTGTGTGGGCTTACAGCGGTGTGTAAGCCCTGTATACACTCCCTGGGTGAGCTGAGCCGACGGGGAAACACCAACAAACGTATTGATTATACATCAGCCGTACTGTATACCCACACATCTATAGTAGACATTATCATAAGTGTTGTTTTCATTCCGTGTCCGTATCCATATCCCTCACACACACATCACATTCACACAGATGGTCAGTGGATTGCAGGCGTGTGTGCCCGTGTGCACGTGTCAGGTCGGTCGACGAGCCACAAGGCCCTCCAGACCACAGACACACTCAGCATGACCAAGGCCGGCAAAGGTACGTGCCTCCGAAGACCTGACACGCGCAAACACTCGCCCACTGCCTGTCAACGCATGGCGCATTGTCGTGTGGTGTGTGTGCAGGTGAGTCTGGCAAGCTGGGTCCCTCCGGAGTTCCCCCTGCGCAGTGCCCCCCTCCCCCCCACTCCCCCGGCCCCGTCCCCAGACTCATTTTCGGCACTTGCTGCACTTGCGAGGTCAGTCAGTCAGTCAGTCAGGAGACCACCGATGAAGAGATGCACAGATGGTAAATGGTGCTTGTTTGTTTGTTTGTTTGTTCGTGTCAGGACCAGCAAGAGAGGGACAGTCAGCTGATTGTGGGCAAGGTGAGCGGGACCAATGTCTGTGTGTATGATGTTGTGTGTGATCCCGTGTGTGTGTTGCGTTTTAGGACATGAGCGACCCCTCCAACCTCCCCCTCTACACACACCTACCCATGCAGGAGTCACGGGCAAGGTGCGTCTGCGTGTATAACGGGTGGATGGATGGATGATATCAGCTCGCGCAGACAGACAGACAATGCCCACCCCACACGAAGCTCACTATCTCCGTGTGCCTTGTGTGTCGTGGTGCGTGGTGTGCAGGTATACTGACCAGCATCCAGGTGCGTCCTCCTCGTCACACAGCACACGAGTCTGTCGGGATGAACAATGTCCACCTGTGGTTGATGTGGTTGATTTGTCTGTCCCTGACATCCCTCTGTCAGCGTCTCTGCTGGACCCGGCCAAGCTGAGAGCGGCGGTGGGGCAGGTGGCCAACATGCCGGGTGAGAGTGAGCGGCAAGGCGGGGGACGGCAAGGGAGCACTTCCGCGTCCATGAGATAAGATTTGCCTGTCGTGTGCGTGATTCCTGTCTTCCCTGCAGGTCCTACGTTGGTTTTCAAGAACACCCACCTACCCACCTCCAGGGATTCGCAAACACACATGTGCGTCAAGTCCGCCACGACACGCAATGCAATACACCGCACACAATACAATACAATACACGGCATGTACCCATCCATGCCCACCTCGTCCATCACATCTGTTTGAACGAACAGGGTGTCGAAGAGCACGTCGTCTCGTGCGTCGACCGAGACTCAGCTGGCCTCACCGTCGAGCTACCGCGAGTCGTCGCTGCATCCCCACCCCCCACCCACATACACCCACAGACACCCACTGCTCGACGACAGCTGCTTCCCGGAGGAGGTAAAGGCGATAGATAGATGAGTGGCCCATCCGCACCTGTCAATGTGCCTCCGTCATGTGGTTGGGTTGCATCAGAGCAAGCCATCGGTCATTTCGTCGCCCGTCAAGACGATACAGGAGAAGGAGAAGCAGATGTACGCACACACGCACAGGACGGCACACACCGGGGAGTTGAGTGGATGCACGTGCTGGTCGTGTGCTGTGCGAACGTGTGTGTTAGGTCGCCTAGCCAGCAGACTGACCACGAGGACGACTACGAGGACGGTGCGAACACCACAAGAGACAGACATCACAGACAGACGACACGACACACATTCGCATTGACGTGTGCGCGTGCAGAGGCCAACAAGAGGCGGAAACTGTATCTGCAGCAGCTGGTGAAGGGGTTCGTGTCGACCGCTGCGTATGGTGTTGAGGTTTTCGCTGTCGATGTGGGCACGGGCGCCACGAGGGAGGGCATCTACTCCATCGACCGAGAGATATCGGTACGTCCGTCTGGTCTGTCTGTCTGCACTCACACAAGAATAGTATAGTGGATGCCGTGCATCATGTCCATCTCGCTTGGCTCCAGAATTTTGCCCTGGATCTGTTCGACCCCCCCACGAGACTCTGCACCATACCGCTGCGACACGTACTGACTGACCGACACACACACTCACACATACACGCGCATTGGTGTTCATCTATCTCTCTTTCTGCGTGTGTGTGTGCTGGTTGTCCGGGTCAGATTGACTCGATCAAATCCATTGACCAGCTGCACGGCAGGGTGAGATCGAACAGAGCGAAGCGAAAGAGATACTTACGGACGTTGTGTGCGTGCCGTGCTGTGCTGTGTTGTGTGTGTCAAGACGAGGTGGGTGTTGGATCAGAATCTGTCAGCCAGCGAGAAGAGGGAACTGGTCGTCATCGAGGTGACTCAACAGCACACGCACACACACACACACAGACGGACGTCTGCTTGACTGTGATTGATTTGCGTTTGCGCGTGTGTCAGTTTCGCGAGGGCGAGAACTGCTTGGCGCGGTGCGTCGGGTTGCTCTGCCCGCCACTCACACACTGGGTAAGGAAGCAACACACACTTTGATTGACTGGCGTGACGTGTGCGTGTGTTTTGTCTTGATTGACTGATTCGATTCAGTCGGGGACGTCTGCGCATGCTCACGTCGAGGTGAGTGAGTCACAATGATTGATTGCACAGAGAGATGGATGGACTAGGTTTGCTGTCTGTGTCCTTGTGCTTGTTGACTGACAGCCGTCGGGTATGCTTGACGAGGAGACCCCATCACCTCCCAGCGGCCGCAGCCCATCGTAATCAACACACACACACACACACACATAGAGAGAGAGACACTTATGGTCGGTGTGTGTCAGAACGACTGCGTCAGCGCATCCGCAGTACAGCACGCCGTCAGGTAGGCGCTTGCAACATACAGACACACAGCGGCAAACAGCGAATGGTGTGTACCGCTCGCTGTGTTGTGTGTGTGCGCAGGTCAGGTGATGCAGCAGCGGCCGCCCGACCGAGTGGAGGAGTTCAGGCGATGCCTTTCCATACTCAGGTACAGACACACGGAACAAGGCAAGGCATCAGCCTCGCCCTCGCACAAATGTGTCTGTGTGACCACACACAGGTTGTATTCCTCCAAGTCCACGGCCGTCAGCCCTCTCAACAGACCGCTCGCGTGATTAGGTGCGCACCTGTACCTGAAATGAATCATGCACGCAGACATCCACGCGCACCGGCCTGTGTCACTGTACGCAGACAAACGAGTTCCTTGGGGCCGGCCGGTTGTATTACGTTTCTACTTTTACCGCCCGCCCCACAGAGAGCGAGGGAGAGCCGCGACAACCACCACTGCGACGAGAGAAAGGAACTTTTGGTTACCCGACTGGCCAGCTGACGTACACACAGACTCATTCATTGCGTAGGCACACACACCGGGTGGTTGGGGGGGGATGTTGGGATGGATCGGTTGGTCGCAAGTTTCTTTTCTTTCCACCGATGGGGGTGTCAATGTAAGGGATGGATGGATGGCCAGTAATTGATTTTCGTCTTGTGTCTCTACACACCCGTGTGTGTGTCTTTTCCTGTGAGCGAGCGAGCGAGTGTGTGTGTGCGTGCGTGCGTGTATCCATCTCACCCTCTCATCAGCCACCTCACCTCAACCCTCTCCACCCACGCCATCGTACCCCGCCTGACCTCACCCAAATGGTCGACCCATTGAGCTGCCTGGCTGCATACGATACGCATTGTGTGTGGTGTTTTCTTCCCTCTCCTGCCTTGCTCTCGTCTCTCCTGATTGCTGACTTGGTGCGTGTACATATGATATGCGTACATACACGCGAAATGGGTAGTGGTCTATTGTTAATACACACATCCATACGTACACACATACGTACATACGGACAGACACTGACTGAGTCACTGGCTGGCTGAGGGGCTTGTCTTTTTTCGTCGATGTGTGTGGATGCGCGCGCGCGTGTGTGTGTGTGTGTGTGAGCACAGAATGATGCAGATGAGAGAGACACTGACGACCATGGCATGCATGTATGTATGTCGTGTAATTAGCGCCGTCCATGTACGTATGTATGTATGTATCGTAGCGTACACATGAGTACATATCATGGGTATACATGCACATAATGGATGGATGGATGGATGTATTTGCATGCCCCCCCCCCTTCCCCCTCCCTTGTTTGCGTGCGTCCCTCCCGCTCGTCCATCTGCCGGCCGTCTCCCTCTCCCGGCGTATCCTCTCTCTATCTCTCCCTCTCTGTCTGTCCGGATGGTGTCGGTCTGTCTGTCGGTCTGCCGGTCGGTCGGTTTTGTCAACGCACTAGTGCTGCCAACAAAACAAACACCAGTCAGTGTATACATACTTGCAACATATGTATAACCCTCCCTACGTGTGTGTGCGCGAGGTGGACCAAGTGTGCACACGTGTATGAGGGCCATTTTCTGGGCACTGCAGCCAAAGGAATCGATCGCACGCCAGCCAGCCAGCCAGCCAGCCAGCGAGCCAGCCGGGCAAGGCAGCCGTAGTCAGAACGAATGCGCATCGTATGTGCACAGTGAATGAGAGAGGGCGATTTTAACCGTCTGTCCGTCGGTGTGTGTGTTGTGTGTGTGGCGAACCATTTGCTTTCTGTGTGTTCGGTCCTTTTCCTTGCCCTCTGTGTGTGTGTGGGTGCATACGACATGTGTGTGCGTATGCGCATTTGAGAGCGTGAGCGACCCGCCTGTGTGTCCGTGTGTGTCTATGTAGCTGTATGTGTGCTCGTTTATCCGACGTATTTGTGCCATTCGCCTGATGACCTTCCTGCCTGCCTGCCAGAACGGATGGATGGATGCTCGGTGAGGGATTCCCAAGAGGTGTTTTGTGGATAATCATAAGGCTGTCTGCTGCGGCTCCGTCGATCGTATCTTTCTATGAATATGCATGTATACGTATGTAATGTAACATGGCCCCTCTCTCTGTCTCTCTGTCTCTGTCTCTCTCCCCGTCTGTCTGCCTGCCTGCCTGCCTGCCTGCAGCAGCTGTTTTTGAACTCTCTCCCCTCTCTCGTAGGTACGTATGCGTGGCCCCCTCCGTCCATCAGTCCATCCGTCCATCCGTCCATCCATCTGGTGCCGCCTGTGTATGTCTATGTAATCGGATAGATGAACGCCTTTATATATCGCTGTGGTCCGTCCGTGTGCCTGATTGACTGCGATTTGGTTGGTGTTTTCTTCCTTCGTGTGTGCCTCTGCCTGCCTGCAGGCATGCATGTCGCATGAAGAGCTGTCGGTCTATGCGATGCCTGCATGCCTGCATTCCTGCATACGTACGGGACACACATACGTACACAATGCCATTTGTTAACTTAACAGGGAGGGCGCTGATGATCTCGGGGGTTGGCGGGGCGGGATGGTCTGGTCACTCACTGCTGTCTTTATTTATACTCCTATCTACAAGCTGGCTGGCTGGCGGGCTGGCTGGCTTGCGACGGATTGACGGACGAAGTGAGGGTGGGGGATGGAGGGAGGGCTCGAATGAATAGCTTTCAACAGCCAAAGGGCTTCCACACCCATGCAGCCATTCATTCTTGATTGATTGCGCACTGCATGGTTGGCACGTCACGATGTGCGTGTGCCCGGCATTGCACGACATTCATTCGCTGTACGGCAGGGCGAGTGTGCGAGTGATTATTCGATTGATTATTCGTTGATAGCGGCCTTTTGTGGTTTACTAACTACCCACCATAGCGCTCCTTTCCTTGCTTGTTTGCCGTCAATGGTCTTTTTCTGGCGGGCGGGGCGGCGGGGAAGAGACGGAGGGACAGATTGACAGACGGCTTGCTGATTGCTGAGGGGAGTGGAGTCGAGTCCAGTGTAGTGTATATCATCGGGATGTTCTAAGTGTCTTCCTGCCTGTCCGTCTGTCTCTGTCGTTTTGATCGGTCTTTTTCTACTGTAAGTAACCATCGCTCTCGTGCGTGTGGCCACCCACCCACCACCCACCACCGCCAATCTCACTTCTTGCAAGGAGTCAGTCGAATTGCGCTCAGACGTTCGGATGGACGTCATTGAGGGGGGGGGAGAGGAGTAGCGTACTACCTGTTGCCTCCCTGCCTACCTGACTGCCTGCCTGTCGGATGTCCACTCATGTGTACGGCTGCCTGCCTGCCTGTCTGTGTGCCTGGTTCTTACTCCCACCTGAGGGTCTATCTCATTCAGCTACGCGTCACACTCGCGCGCCATAGTCACTCACAGCCGGCCAGCCAGTGCATACGAGTGTTTGTTGCTGAGCCACACACACACACACACACACACACTGAGGAGGATTCCTTCCTGGGCGGTCTGTCTGTTGAGCGGTAGGGAGGGGCGGTGGGGAGGGAGGGTATAGGTAGTGCGCTATTTTTCTCATGCCGTGAGCCAGTCAGTCGACTAAGTACTCAATCATACGGATGGATGGATGGGCCAGTCACTGCATACGCATACGTACGACCTTCCCAGTTCAGTTGGATGGGTTTGTGTGTGCATACGATGCGTAGATGTTTTTTCATATCAGTCGGCCGGGCCGGCCAGCACACAGAGAGAGGAGTTTTCCCTCGGTTCTCCCAACGCAACTGCCTGCCTACATCCATCCATCCATCCATGCATAGAGACCTCTCCTGACTGTCCACTCACTCACCGATACACACACACACACCCCTCTTCAGTATACACACCTGACCTGCATGCGTGTGGCTGAGTGTCCTATTCTGATGTGCTGCTGCCGGGCCGGCTACATGTGTGTGTGTGTGTCCCCGCGTGTGTCTGCATGTTTTCTTCATACAAAGACAGCAACCATCGCCATCCATCCACCATTGCCCTAGTCCCTGATCCATCCATCCACCCGCCACTCACTCTCCTACTCACTGACTCACTGCCCCCCAACAAAGTATTATTATGCGCATGAGAATACGTACGCTGACTGACTGACTGACTGAATGGCTGAATGGCTGAAGGAAAGGCAGAGGAAAGACAAAACGAGATGAGACGAAGCGAGGCATTTACCCACTCACTGCCTACATGTGCGACGTTTTCCATCCACTGACTGCTACACACGCCACATGCACCGCACCACCATGCAGTAACTACACCGTACCGAACCACCACAACGCCGCGGCTATCTGGCCACCTGCCTACCTACCTGTGTGTCCTGTCCGCCTGTCTGCCCACTTCTGTCTGTCTGCATCTCTGGCTGCTGCTGTCGGCTGCTGGCTGTTGGCACGGGTGGGTCGATGGTTGCGTTGTCTGTTCTTTTTCCGCCCTACTCTCTGCCCCCATTGGTTGCTTTTGACTCCCTGCCTCCCACACACACACGTAGGTACCTTACATACCCACACACACCCCCACACACGCACACACCTGTCAGTTTTTCCCTGTCCAATTTTGACCTGACTGGCCCGCAATCGGTCCCCTCTCTTTCCTCTCCCTGGCTGGCTGCACTCACTCTGCTGGCTGTCTGTCTGTCCATCCCTTGATGCTTTCGTGCAAAGGGTGTTTTGCCCATCCATCCCGCCCTCCTGGTTCGTACTCGTTCGGCCCTACTGTCGTCTACCTATCTAGCTGCCTGTAGCTCTAGCTCTGTCTGCCACGGCTTCCCTGCCTGTCTCTCGCCCGCCTTCTTGTCGCTCTCTTTGTCTGTCGCCCGTCGGCCGGTCATGGATGATATGCACAAGCATCCTGAATTTTCTTTCCACACGGTGTGCTTGACATACAGAGACAGACAGACAGACAGACGGACAGTGGGTGTGTGCATGGGTGCCCATCAGTCGCATGTCGGTCGTCGGATGGCGTCTTTTCTCAACCTCTCCCCGGCCCCGCCCCGCCCTGTTGAGGCTGCTGGTTCGCGTGCATCTGGCTGGACACAGAGAGAGATAGGGAGAGATAGGTAGAGGAGACAGACAGACGAGTAGGCGTGTTGGTTGTATTGGCGTAGGCGTCGTGTGTCCTTTGATGTGATTGATGTATGCTATGGTGTGTGTGCTCGAATGAGAGCATGTCGCTGGGCGGGTGGCTGAGTCGATGGGTGGATGGATGGAGAGACTGGTTGTCGGCATCACTCCCTGGCTCTGGGCTCTTGCTGCTGCTGTTGCTGCCGGTGTTGCTGCTGTCGCTGCTCGTTGCTGCTGGTGCTGGTGCTGCTCGCTCTCTCTCGCCCTCTCTCTCGTGGACAGACAGACGGCAGGCAGACAGACAAACGGGCAGATAGACAGACAGACGGGCAGGCAGGGAGGCAGGCCCTCAACAAGCAAACACGTGGCAATGGATTATCGCATGGTGTGGATGGATGAAAGACCAACACACACACAGACAAGTACAAGGACCACCGAGCCGTACGTAATTATCAATTTGATCCGTATACAAACAATGTCGGCGCATTTCACACTCTGTATACAAAATTGTCCTAAGCAGTACGTGCCAGGCCCACGTGCAGGCAGGGGCCGTCCAGAGCAACACAGTCGATCGGATGAATCAAAATAAGATAGTCCTCTGCCTGTGAGACGCCTTTGCACTTCTTGAACGAGAGGGATGCGGCCAGCGGCTTCCGTCATCGACGATGGTGCTGGTCTTGCTTGTCCCTCTGCAGCGAACAGTGGGCAGCAAGCGTAGGGAAACAGCCGGTTGTGTCGGTCACGGCACTCCTCTCCTCGAACTCGTCTGCCCTCACGCCGATCTACGTATACAGCCCAGATCTCCCCCAAGGTCGCAGATGCTGCAAGCTCTGCGGACACCCAGATCTCCCAGCTCCTGACGAGGCACACACGATACAGGGAGATGTGCGTGTCTGTAATCATTCATGGGGAGAAACTGTCATTAACCGTAACACTCGTCTGTGTGTCCGTGATACTCATACAAATACACTCCCATCAGCACGCAGAGTCAAACAGGCTCAAGGGGAGGAGGGATCAATCCCCGCCCCATCAGCACACCCCAGTCCCGCAAACCCTCCCCTCCCTCCCCCACGCAGACAGAAGCTAGTCGCACGCGCGAGGGCGATAGACAAGCGAGAGCGAATCCATCCAGACACATGACTGAACCCCCGACCCTTCCACCCCTCCTTCTCCAACAGCGCATGAGCCATGTG